GCCAATGCAATGACACATCTAACTGTTACCATCTTGGCTACTGGAGAAAAAGTATCATGATAATCCAACCCTTCTTGTTGACTGTATCCCTTTGCTACAAGTCTTGCTTTAAACCTTTCTATATCACCATTTGCCTTATACTTAACTTTATATATCCACTTGGAACCAACTGCATGCATACCTTCTAGTAGTTCAACTACTTGCCATGTATTATTATCTTCAAGAGCTTTGATTTCCTGCTTCATAGCATGTATCCACCTTTCATCTTGTGAAGCTTGATTGAAATTCTTAGGTTCTATATACTCTGAAAGTTTACTCAGAAAACTTCTACACTCAGGTTTTAGCTTCTCATAATTCAGATAGCTAGCCATATGATGTTTAGTGCTACTATGGCCTTTAGTAATAGCATAATCTTTCATCCACATTGGCTCCTTGATGCTTCTTGAAGATCTTCGAACATAAGAGTCAACATGTGATGGTACAACATGAGTATTTTCTGCAACTTCCTCTGTTGTACTTGGTCTAAACATCTGATCTTCTGAAGAATTCTCAGCCTCATTACTCTGACTGTCTTCATGAACTATACCAGTGTCTGCAGGTTCACTATTATCAATCTCAACTTCAATAGTTTGATTTTCTGCTTTCTCTAAGGGTGAACCATGTACTTCAACTAATGGATCAAGTTGAGGCCTCACTTTAGCAAAAGGAAATGTTTCTTCATGAAATATCACATCTCTATTCACATGCACTTTAGTAGAGTGAATATCCAACAACACATATCCTTTCTGTAATTCTGAGTACCCCAAGAGAATAGCTGCACTAGCTCTGGCTGAAAATTTATCTCCTTTAGGCACTTTTGTAGCATTACAAAGACAACCTATAACCTTTAGATGAGATAAACTAGGTTGTTTACAATAAAGTAACTCATAGGCACTCTTGTTGGAATTGACTGATGATTGTAACCTATTCATCAAATAAACTGCAGCCTTAATGCAATAACCCCAAAATCTGATAGGTAGATGAGCTTGGAATCTGATTGCTCTTGCAATATTAAGGATGTGTCTGTGCTTTCTTTCAACCACACCATTTTGTTGTGGTGTGTGAGGGCAACTACTCTGATGTAATATTCCCAGATGATTGAACAAATCTCTACACTGTGAAA